ACCACACTGCCACAAATACCCGTTCATAGGGTGGGCCACATTCACACATCACAAAACAACAGAGAGAGAGAGAGAAACATCCATGCCCAGACCAGGATTCGAACCCTCAGCCATTGCTTTGCACGCTAACCACTCGGCCACCTGGCCGGCCTATTTCAATTATATATCAAGGAGCAAAATATGTCAAATATTGCAAAAATGAATATATGTTTCTTGTTAATGTAAAACTTGCAATGAGTATGGTAATTGGGTACTTTCACTTTAAGAAGACCTCCCATACCCACACATTTGACCTATGAGGTCAGCTAATCTTTATTAGTAAAAAGGCGTATTAAAGTTGAACTAAGTTTCTCTACATAAGTTAGAATGTTTAGTTAATTAAATCCAGAGTTGTATCGCACACTGAACCAGTTGAAATATAATTCTTTCTTGTCTACTTCTTTTACTTAACATAGATTTATTATTTGTTTGTGTATTTTATTGATGATTGATTTTGTGTACTGAAATGTTTTTGGTCGTTATTTTCTTTTCAATATTTTTGTTATTTTGATAATTTTTAATCTTACAGCTGTTCCTATACTCAAACTGTGTGACTCTTTGCGTGATGATGTGCTGCCCGCTCTTGGTGTCCGCCTAGAAGATCAAGAAGGTACTTTATAAAAAAAAAAAAAACATTTTTTTTATCAGTTACTTCTATAATAAAAATTTATTGCGTTGTCTGAAAAGTTTGTTGATTTACATGTGGAAGTGAGGAGGCTTGAATGTATCTAAATCATAAAAATTAAATGACACATATCAGGGGTCTGTTTAGAAGAAATTTAGGTTCGTTAACGGACCTTTCACAAAATATCTTTTCATAAAAACAGACCCTTCACAAAATATTTTAACTTAAAAACGGACCCTTCAAAAAGTAATTTTTCTTTTAATCGGACCCTTCGCAAATTTGTTTATCTTCATTATTGTTTTGTTAATCGAATAAACCCTTCTCAGGAAGGGGTGGGGGAAAGAAAGACAGATGTAAACGAACTAAATTTTGTCTTCGGCAAACGCTTCTTGCTTTATTCGTCTGAAATGAATATTCTGCGTTCAGCAGTATAGACTAAATACCAAATATTTATATGTTGCATCGCTAATTTAGTAGCTGCAATTGCTGTTAATTTTTTAAAATGTAATTTTTTTTATTATATATTTACAGTGTTGAGCATAATGTTGTATGTCTTTACAATTTAAAAACTCCTTGAAAAAGTTTTTTTGCAATAATGGACCCTATTTGCACAAATTTACAAAAGCGGACCCTGGTTGAAAGAATGTGACTAAACGTTTATTTTATATTCACAAATTACGAGTAATTTTTTCACAATTTTACAGAAACGGACCTATCACAAAATGTCTGGACAGACCCCTGCATATAAATATTCAAAATTATTGACTTGAAAAATATTTTACTCCAAATATTTTGTATAATTTTACAGTTGACCCATTTTTTTTGAGTTTAAGACTACTAATGTTCAACTCGGTAGCCTTATAATTTTTAATCAAATCCAGAAGACAAAAGAACTCTTGAATCATGCATTGAGTCAAACAAGCTTTCGTGAAGGACTTTTTGATGCTGCCAACCAGCATTTATATTACATGAGGAGGAAAACCTCAAAATCACCCTTGGACAGCCCAACAGAAAGGATATTCTGACCCATGTTCGTCTACCACTTTTGTTGGTATGAGCCAGAAGCAAAGTTCGTATCGATCATTTCGTCATCTCATTGGGAGGTGAACGTCGTATGTCCTAAGCCTCGTTATTGCTTTTAATTCTTTGGTCAAAATAAAAACGCAATCAAACTTTGCTTTTTTTTACAATTAAACTTGAGAGGTAATTATTGAAGATCAGCATTTTTAAATTGCTTGAAAGAAGGGAAAAAATTTTGAAACAGAATGCAAATATTCACTTAAATGCTGCAATTCAATTTTCTTTCAAACTATATATACAGTTTATGAATTGGAAACTGAGTTTCAAGACCTTACTAATTCTTTTTTTTCTTCTGTTCAGCTAAAAACTTAACGATTGTTTATATAACAAAAAGTGTAAATAATTATTTTGTGATCGGTATATGGCACACACACTTTACTAAGTAGAAATTTTTGAAATGATCCTTAATAACCGAGTACATCAGGGCTGCCTAAGGTCAGGGAAAACCTGGAATTAGGGAATTTTACTTTGACTCTAAAAAACAAGGAATTGTCTGGGAAAACTGCATTTTTTTTTTTACAAAAACTTGGAAAATTCCTATATTATGCCTGGAAAATAATCAGTTTTAAAATTGTCAGTAACAGTAATCAGTTATTGAGATTAGAGTTGCATACTTCCCAAGTCTCCTGTATTTTATAACTATCTCCAGTTTACCTGCATATTCTCAAATTTATCCGTATTTGTTGAAGAAATTAAAAAAATTTTTTTTTTTTGGCTGTATAAATATCTGCTCTGCTGATGGCAAAAATACTGCTCTTATTCCTACTACTTTACTTTCAACCTACTATGTTAACTACTATGACCTGCTGTACTATGTTAATTTTACTCTTACTTTAAGCATTACTTTTAATACATACTTTTTTTTAATCTCTTGTTCATTCTTGCAGGTTTAACATGCCAGATGCAAACTATCGAAATCAATTATGTGTTCTTTTTTTTCTTTCTTTCATTTTTATGGTTTATGATTTCATTCTACATTATGTCATATTTTTTATGTAACCAATGCATGTACAAATCAGTACATGTTGTATGCTGCTTTTTTTATGGGAAATGTCCAAAAAAATATTTTAAAATATAGAATTCCTAGGTTATAAACCCGTAAATAGTTATTATATTTTAAATAGAATATTATGAAAATAGTAATTAATTATCCTAATTATGAAAGAAGATGTTTTTGAATATAAATGAAAAAACTTATATGTAATCTATTTTTTTAGGACTGAAAGCTGCTATTAAACTCGTTGATCCAGCTGTACTAGCTAAAGAAAAAGAAATAAAACAAAGAGTAGGTTTTTTCATTAATAATATGCATATGACAACTTTTTATTTTATTTATATGTGTATTTTATTATAAAATTTTAAATTTTTTGACACAGCTAATTAAATATTTAAATGTTTCTTGACTAATTATCATTAATAAAATATAAAGTAAAACTATGCATGCTTAAGTCAGAAAATAATAAAATGAATTCTTAACACTATACATACCAATACTTAATCTGTACTTATTTCTACCATAGCTGTTCAAATAACCAGACTTTATCTTTCTTGATTCAATGTATGAAATATGTATGGTAGGAAGGAAATAAACTTAAAAAAACTTTCTTATAATTAAACAGAATTTTGCCAAACACAAAGAATAAGAATTTTTAATTCATTGCTGAATGCATTTTATACATATACAGGGTGTTTCCATTGTACATTTTCCGCAAACATATTTCTTCTAATTATTATTATTTCTATAATTCTTATTATTATAGAAATATATAAGTATTATAATTCTTATAATTGATATTATTTCTTCTAAGAACTTGTGCTGTCTTGATTGTTTCGATACTTTTCTGGGTAAAAAATAACAGTTAGAAATGAAGTAAAGCTATCAAAATAAAATATAAGCTACTTACCAAAACATTTAGTTTTTTCACTTTTTCTGATACTAAAATGCTAATCTAAAATTTTGAGTACAGTTATTCGGATTGAACTAACTGCGCAACAGTCTTTGCAGAAATGTGCAACTCATCAAATGCAATACGTTGAACCTGCATTACATCATCATTTCAGATTCGATATCCTTATAAAGCAATAAATTGTTCTCCCGGTCAAATGACCGGTTGTGGTAGAAATATGTATACCACAAGTATTATTCAAAACAAACGAAATACAAAAAAATAAATAATAGAATATTAACTGTATATAATTGTTAGAAAAAGCCATGAAGTCAAAAATGCAAAACGATGAAATAATAAGCAGATTTTAGATGCAAAAGTTCTTAGACGGTCATTTGACCGGTTATGGTATGTTTAGTGTTATATCTGGAAAAAAATGTCAAAGTGCCTATTTTAACTTATGTTTGATTAAACTCTTGATTCAATGAATCCTTTGATTTTAAATCATTTTTCCTTTAAAATGTTGAAAATTTCACAAGAATGTTAAAAAAAATCTAAAAACTGATCAAAAGTATAATTTTTTTCCTAAGTAAATAAAACAATTTACACTGCTTTTGTAAGATATTTAAATTGGGCTTATATATGTATATATATATCTATGTATTTTTTATTTTATTTCCTATGCCCATCTGTGTTAACATTTCGTCGATTTGGGTATTTACAAGGCAGATTAGTTGGTCACTCTTTCATTGGCACCATATTAGATTTACCAACGTTGCTCCCATATTAGGGACATCCATGCCTTGCCCAGGATCTGAACCCAGAAACTTTCTCAAATCAATACAGGAAACTATTGCAGTTTTTCTATTTTGATGACTATAAAAATCCCTAACGTTTCTCTTGTGTAAAATATTTAGTACATTATGCAACAATTATATTGAAATGTATATTACAGTTGACTCGCGTTATAACGAC